GCTGCTCGCGCGGCCGCTGCCCGCCAGGTAAGCGCGTGAGGCGGCCGCTTCCCGCCGTGCCGGGGGAGCCTGCCCCGCCGCGTGCTCAGGCGCGGTGCTGCCCCCCAAACGCGCTCCGTAGTCGCAGGAAGGATCTTCCTCTGGAAAGACTCCAGGGTTTTAAAACTTTTTTTAAAAAAAGTCAAAATGCTATTATTTCTTATTTCTCACATGCTGGATTTTAAAACAGTTGTTTTTTGTTAATTTGCTTGTTGCTAGTTAGCTTTGATCTCTGCTTTTTCAGGCAGCTACAAATGAAGTGTGATTTTTTCCAGCTCTTCGGGGAAGATTAATGTTGCTCCCTGTTTCCAAAAAATGATAATTAACACTTCCCATTAACGTTTATGCAACATTTAGTAATGCCTTTAAGACACAGATAATGCGAGCAGCACTTAAAAGGAGGCTGGAGGAACTTGTGCACATGGTTTGATGAATATTGCGAATGACCACGTGAGACACAAGTCTTTATGATCTCTTTTGGCCTTGCTATTTGTGCTATGCATGGAAAGACGCTGCCAAGTCAATACCAAATATGTTCTTTAACAGCATAGACTTTAGGTTGAGTGTAAATGTACTGAAGCAGATGAAAAGCTGATGGAAATTAGAGGTATTCTTTAATGGGTGCAATAGTTCACTTTTAGTTTGGATGTAGAACTCCATTTTTGCTTTTGTGAGCTAAAGGCTTGTTTGTTTTCGGGGTTAGAACTAGAAGCGAGCAAATAGCAGTGTTTGACAACCACTTGGGTTTCAGAGAAATCTGCTGAACTGCCCAGAGCGCTCTATGGACTGAACTTTAGACCAGAAGTGAATTCCAGTGTTTTGAAGCAAAAAGCTATGGCAGTAGTAGTGGTGCTTAGCCCATCTAAAAACAGTTATTTACATAGCAGAAAATACCAGTTTAACATATAAATAGTACCAGTGTTCTGTCTCTCTGCATCTTCTTCTTTGACTCTTCTTTAAAGACTTGGTCATCTTTATATTTATCATACCTGAGGAAATGTAAAGATCAAAATGAGCTCTGACTGTTTTGGGGGGTGGGGAGTGATGCTGTATGTAATTCATGATATGTGTTTATTAATTCCTTAGATGTGAGCAGAGCTGCAGCCCTCGAAGAGCTGCGTGGCTGTGGCTTCTTGTGCTGGAAAAATGGCTTGCCTGTGATCAGGTACAGGAGTTTCGAGTGGAAAATAGTCTAGTTGCCTATTTAAAATTGTGTGTTCTCTTACTGTTCATGGAAGATGATTCTTGAGGTAGTCTGAGAGGTGCATGGGATGGGTTTTGCTTTTGTTTTTAACAAAGATGTCAATAAACAACTGTTAATTTTCACAACGTGCTTTCCTTTCTGCATGCTCTGAAGAAAAATCACCCTCTTAAGAAAGATGCCTCTAACTGATGGGATTATAATTCCTGAGGAAGTGACAGTTGTCTCCATTTCCAGATTTATGGTTAGATGGAATCCCCTGGTGCAGGAGCAGAATCTAAATGTGGAATAGTCTTTAACTGAGAATTAGATACCTTCAGAGAGAGATTTCAGTCTGCCTTCAGTCTGATAATTAAATAGCTAAAATCAGGTTTACTTGTTAATATAAATAAGTAAAGGTAGATTAACTTTCTCCCTATTTTCTTATGTTACCTCAGAAAACTGTTCCAGTTGCTCTCCAGAGAGAAACTGAATTTTTATTGCTCTTGGAAGAACTACAGAGAGATATCTCTGAGGAAGTTCTAAAAGTGAGTGCTGTCTTACTTCCTCTCATCAATTTTTCAGTGTCCAGTTTCTCTTAATCAGCTGTCTGTATGAATTGTGGTACTTGCTTAAGAGCACACGGCTTATATTTTAGTTGTGTATTACAGAATTCTTCATATTTTGTTGTATGTCTACTATTTTAGAGAGGATATTGGACAAGATAGACCAGCGTTGTTGCTTCCTAAGCAATCCGATGTTTTCAAATGGATTTATCTGGTTGCCTTCAAGTTTCTCATGTTTTTCAACATACTTATTTCATGTTATTTTACAAAGTCCAAAAGGCTTACTGTTCCACTCTTCCCTTCCAGGAGCTGTTTGAAGCATTTGAGTGCACCCAAGAGACGCGTACCGCAGATCGGGCAAGAAAAGATGGCCATTCTCACAGGTTCACTTTGGGTGCTGTTTCAGCTCTCCGGAAGCTTTTGCTGCGAGCTCCCCAGAAGGCACAAGCCCTGCTGGAGTTCCTCTGCGGGGAACAAGGCGCACACAGCTCCTTGCTCCAGCAGTATTCCTGTCTGCAGTATATCTTTGTTGACTTTCTTCGCGAATCCTTAAAATCTCTGCAGAGGCTTCAGTGCAATTCTGAGATTCCAGCAGAACTGGATCAAAGAGAACTAGTAGATACAGTTTATGGTGCTCTTACTATGATGAATTTTGATCTGGAACATCAGACCGATGAAATTCGGCAACTCTTCAGGGAGCTCTTGGATGCGTGTTGGGCTGAAGGGAGCCCGCTGCGGGAGGAGAAGTTACTAAGCTGCATGCTGAGGAAACGGAACTACAGCCTGTTAAACATGTATAGCAGTGTTCTTGTAGACAGAACAAGAGAAAGATTTCTGGTGTCAAAATCAAAAGGTTTGTTTCACTTTTGTCTGGTACATTCAGTTGAAGAGCTCAGTTGAAGCGGGGTGGCAAGCAGTGCCCATGGTCTTGTTGGGAAAGCAGCAGGTGAGTGTGCAAGGAAGGAAGGGCTAGAATACCTGCTCGCTTCTGCTTGCCTCTGTGCATGTAGGTGTGAGCCAGTGGGGTTTGTATCCTCTGTCTTCCAAAGGTTCCCTTCACTCCTAGGAATCGCTGAAGGAAAGTTGAGAGCAGTGAAGCCCAGTGGGCTCTAGCACTCTTGACTATAGCTGCAGATAGTGCCCTCTTGTGGGGGAAGAGAAATGGAGATACTGGGAGCGAGTGAATTTTCACTGGCGCAGGTCAGACAAGTCCCTGTCCTGAGCAAACTATTGCTGGGGCCTGCAGAGCAGCTTAGTGTCCCAGTACAGAAGTGAGGGTTCAAGGTGCATGATGACCCACAGAAGAGGAAGAAGTGCAGAGTGGTTTTTCTCTGTAATGTTGCACACTGAGCAGACCTCTGCTAGTGTGGCAGCTCTTTGGATTAATGGTTTTTTTTTGACTTTGCAGTCAGAATAACCTTTTTGCTCATTTGTAGCTCAAAGGAAAATTTGTGCATTTTGGATTGGGTTTGGGCTCAGTCCAAACTGTTGGGTTTACTGGTTATCAAATAATCCTAGTGATTGGATACTATGTTAGGAGCAGTCTGTCTCTGACACTAGGACTCAATCTCCAGCTTACAGTGCCTTCACCCCATCTGCCCTGTTTCCTTTTCCTTCTGCGTTTCTCTGACCGGATTTCTCATTACCTGATCATAGTATCTATGAGTTTTATCTAGTAGTGTATAACAGCTGGTTATTATTTGAGAGAATGTTAACTGTTACTTAGTTTAAATTAACAGTGATTATGCTTCTTTGAAATGCACCCCTCTGTACTAAAAGATAATCTTATTCTGATGTGTTTCAGGCTCATCTGAGCAGCTGGATACAGAGAGAGCAGTGATGACTCTGTTCTCAGATCCCAAAGAGGCTGCTTCTTGGAAGACTGCCTACTTCTATTGCTTGAGCAGCAGTAAGCACTTTCTGGAGCAGATTCTGGTATGGCCATAAAATGTTTAAGAGAGAACCCAGTGGTAGCTAACATCAGTCCCTATATTCCAAATACCTTGGTGACTTCCAAGGACATTTTGTATTCTGATTATTGACCAGGAGACATGACTTCCAGGAACAAGGAGTTAACTGATGATAACTCCCGTTAATTTAGCTGTATGATGGACTCAAAACATTCAGTGAAATTTTGGAAAAGCTCCTCTGCATGTAAACTGAAGATTCAACGAAGTACCATGTTCTGTCTGCAGTTTTGTCAGCTGTTTCCTGTTGATTTATCCCATGACCTTGGACTAGACACTTTGGTTTTGTGAAGTTGGTAGACTTCAGGCAGGGAAGCTCTTCAAAGGGTTTGCAAGGTGAAAGTAATATTTGTAAAGAGCTTGAAGATCTGGTGAAAACCTTTCCATACAGATTAAATTATCTGAATATATTTACACAGAGAAAATAAGCAGAATCCTGGCAGGCAGCCACCGATGTGAATTTTAAAATTGAACTTGGCTCCATTTTTAGGTTAAGCTACTGATACAAGATTCTTAGATAAAGCCTTCAATAGAGATTTAGTCAGAAAGGAACTAATGATAGTGTCATGAGGGAATGTGAGTCAGTTTTGTAGCAAATATTTGGAGTAACCAGATGGCTTGTAGACTATGAGCTTGGGAAACTTGCAAATGCAGAGTGTTACCCTTTTTGCCAAGCTAATGCTGAAGCAGTTCCTTGCTTGCATAAACTGCTAGATTCATAACTGTGTTTTAGAGTGATAATTACTCTCCCTTTTGTTTTCTAGGTGACTGCTTTAACCTTACTGAAAAGAGAAGACTTCTCAGGCCTGAACAGTTTACTGAGGAGGGAATTCAACCCTCTCAGTCGCCTTTTGATATTGCTAGGATGGACTCACTGTCGTAGCTTGGAATCCGCAAAAGCATTGCTGTGGACTCTTCACAAAACTCAGGTAAGCTGCAGCAAAGGCAGGTGGCAATGTTGTGCTCCCAGTCTGAATTCAGTTAAAGCAGTTTGCTTATATTCACTTTTCCCTGTTTTTTGGGAGGGGGGGAAAACTAATCTGAATTCAGCAGTGGGTGAGCTAAAAATCTTCTGTGAGCATTCCCGGATTAAAATCAACTATGACACAAATAACAAGGTCTGAAAGATCCACCTTGTTTGGAAGTCCTTCTCTTGGCAGAAGTCGAAGTGAATATCTTGGTCTAGTTTTTAACAGGCAGTCATCTGCTACAGAAAAGCACATGGAAAAGGAAAATGAGTATCTACTACCCAGTACAGCATTTTGTGTAGTGAACTATTGCTTGTAGGAGTTAAACTCTGAACTAGCATTAGTAAGCATTAGTTGTCTTTTTGAAAGCTAAATTTGAACAGGAATGTAGCTGTCTTCCTGTGGTCTGGAGGTATGTCATGTATTGGCTGATCAACTTGGTTCATTCAAATAGTCCTTGCTTGCTGTCTTTAACAAATCTGACAGGTTTCTGCACTTAAAATTACCCTATGGTTAAAGAGTCTTATAAACATCTCATATGTGAAACAGACTTGGTTCTGTTGTTATGCTTGTCTAGAGATTTTTTTTTTTTAAAAGAGAATGTTTTATTTGTTCTTTTGATTAGGATCTGTGCAATGATTTGGTGTTAAAAGATTTCTGTGATGGACTCTGGGCTCAAGTGGAAGTTCTTGAATGGTGCATACAGCAAAACAGGTAAAATAATTCTTTCCTAACTGTCTTGCCAAAGCTGTCTATTATTCTGTGTTACAAGTGTAAATAGAAAGTGTATTCTTTCTGTGAATTTGTGCTAATTGGTTCCTAGCAACTGCATATCACAAGTTCTTGAAGTTGCTTCCTGGATGTTGGTTATGTTATTTTTTTTAGTTCTTTTTAACTGCAATAATTCAGTTGAATGAGAGTTAGCATGAAAGAACTTTAAACACGACCGAGAGGCCTGAGTCTGTGTCACCTTTTTGTTTGTTCTCTCTTGCAGTATTACTATCCCAAAGAAGGTTCTTCTGCACCACCTGCATAGTCTAGATTGCCACACTGCAGTATATTCTCTTCATCACCTCACTAATCTACTGGCACTGAATGAAGATGATGTAATTGAGCTTCTTCAAAAGGTTCCTTCTAGAGACCAACAGATGCAGGGTAAATGTGTAGGATTGTGAGAGCACAGGAATATCTATGATCTGTCCAGGAATATCTGTGATCTGTCAAAGTGTGTGCTGCTCAATGCTTCTGTCAGGAAGAATCTGTTCTTCTCACCTGCTTTTGTAAATAGGGAAGATACCATTTATAGCCTTTGAAATGAAATAGCCTTTTCAAGATGGTAACAAAACTTTGCACATACTTTTTACCAGACTGATGTAGGGGGAAAAATGACATCTTTCTTTTGCTTAAAACTGACTTAATTTTAAAATTATCATGCATGCTTTCCATTATCATGTATTTTATAATACCTGTAACTTGAAAAGTTAAGTGTGAGTTTTGGATTTCAGCCAACAGTGCACTTACCTTTCAAAGCAGTGGACAAAGTCTGATGAAACTGATGATATCTGCTACTAGTGTCATGTCTTCTTTTTAAAACACATTATTTTCTTCTGATTAAAAAGCCTTAGTTTATTTTAATATTACAATCTCTAAGTTTTATCCTTAGGCAGGCTGTCTTTATATCCTTCTTTCCTCATTTCTCTCTTCCTCCTACCCTCCAGTTCAGTTCTTAAAATAACCGTTCAAACTCCGCTTAAACCCTTCCACAAGGGAGGCAAAACTATTACACTGATGATCTCATGCAAGTTTATCTCTTCTAATATCTCCAGCAAGTCTATACTACACATTAGCATAGAGCTCCCGGTGAATTACAGCCTATGTAGGCTCTGAGCAGGACTCATATTTAGCTGTTTCTTCAGTTCTAACTGTTACATACATCATAGTTTCCACCATTGCTGCTGTTTAGAGTGGCAGTGACAGCGAAGAGCAGACTTCAGACTGTGTGCTCTGTTTGCCTCTTTTTTTTTTTTTTTTTCTCTCTTTTCTTTGGGGAGTTTGAAATGAATTCACACCCTTCATTTCCTCCCCAGCAGCGCCGGTTCCAAACGTGCTGAGTCAGCGGCGCAACGTGGCGCTGCTGCGGGCGTTCTGCGCCATGAAGTACGCGATCTACGCGCTCTGCGTGAGCGCGCACCGGCGCGCCAGCTGCACGGACTGCGTGCGCGGCCTCCTCCGTGGTGGCCCTGAAGACCCAACTTCTCCCGGGGAAGCGGCAGGGGATGGGCCTACCTTCTCAGGTTCAATACCTTCTCTTTCTCCATTTGCTGGGCTCTAAAGTGGCATTCAGTGTTAGGACAGTAGTACTCCCTGCACACACGGACTGGTTTTATGCAGAGGGCAATGACAGACAAGTCTCTCGGCATTTGTGAGGTGCATTTACCTTCAGTAATTGTAGATATGGATAAGCTATCTGCTTTGTCCTAAAGCATTTAAGGTAATTGAATTTAAACTACAATTTAAAACTGTATTAAAGAAACAGTGCGAGAAGAAAGTGGTATTAGATATAGGATAGTTGCAGCAATCACGCTTTTGTTAGAGCTCATAACTTCCTAGGGCCAAAACTAATTTAATGGTTAAAATGGGTATAGTCTGAATTTATATATTCTCGCACAGTGCAACTACTGAGAGGAAGTCAGCCCACAGGCCTTTTAAATGTAAAACACTGTAGGCTATGGTACTTGATTTGTAGAGAAATGATCAACTCTGAAACCCTCGAGTAGTTCCCTATTCTAGGATTTTCTTGGAGGGCAGAGGTGTGAAGGAAGATGTCCTGGAAAATATTGTAAGCATTCTTTATTTTTGTTTTTTACATACACAGATTGCTCATCAGTCTTTCCCCAATATCTTGTGAAATGTCAGCATTTCTTAAGGAGTGTTCCTGCTCCCCTGCGCCTGGAACTTCTGGAGAACATCTTCTCCTTGCTTTTTGTTTCCTATAGTGACCTTCACACAGAGAATCTCCAACCTGAGGACTATGCAGAGGATGATGATCTTGACAAGAAGAGTTCTACTGTGAGTGTAGAAGGCAGTACTAGTCGACAGTCTTCCACTTCAGAAAGTCCACAGCACCAAATAGAGGCTGACAAGAAATTAGAGAGGCACCTGCTAGATGCTCAGAGAGTGCACTCAGATACTCAGGCTTTTTCTGACTCAGAGCTGAGCAGCAAAAGCTGTAAATCTTCTCAGCAGAGCTACCTGGATCTGAAACACTTCACCAGTGGTGTCACTGGATTTTTAGTGGATGATGTGGCCATGGATGCCTTCCTCACGTTGCTCCTCAACCACCTGGAAGAAATTCAGAGTTCACTCCCATGGGACTCCAGTAATGTCCTTCGTGAAGAGCTGGAGCTTGTCGAGTGCTTGAATCTTTCTGCAAGCAGAGAAAGTTTTGGGAATCGTGTATTGCAGTTTTCCAAATACCTTTCTGAAGCTCACTGGCGATACAAAGTGGTGATGAGTAACAGAAATGCAGGTAGGGTTCTTGTTAGGGTGCTTTCTCATGGGATTGATACTCTTCTGTTACAGCTCTCCAGGCAATGCTCTCGACTAAAATCCCTGAGCATACCAGTGAAGGGGCACATTTTGGTGGATGCAGCCTTTAAGCTGAGATCAAGCATGTTTGCTTTGTTTGGATCTGTTTGCCATCAGAGCTCTGCCTGTGCAGATGTACAGGCACACTTTACAAGCTAGGCAAATATCTGTGTTTATGTCCTGTCTAGCTACTTGGTAATGTTCTTGTTTTTATATTTATCTTTTCATAGAACATCAGCTTGCAGCATCCAGACGATATTCCTCTTTAAGCAGATGCTCCAGCTTAAGGAAGCGAAGTAGATCGCAAAGCTGCAAGACAGGTGGGTTGAAAAAAATGACTTAAGACATCTATGAAGTGCACATCATGTTGCTAAGTTCTCATACTGGAATGCAGCATCTAGATTTACTGGACAGAAAATAGCAAATGAAATTTGCTTCCTTTAGCTAACTGGTTTGAAGCATCATAATCCAGTTCTACTTCAATTGATGCTTTCCTAAAGTTTACTTCTACAACTAAAAGATGACGCATTTTAAATGAGTTAAGGAAATAACATCTTTAATATGTAACTACTTGTCATATTTTTATTCACATCACTGCAGTATCCAAGACAGGTATTTACAGGAACCGTTGTGACTTAAATTATCACTTCACCCCTTTTCTATGTAGTTTTTTTAAAGAAGGCTAGTTTTGGAGTTGGATATTTCCAAATAGGATGCTTTAAAGTTTCTAACATTAATCACTGATAGACAAGAGACTTTGATGAGGTGGCCCAGAATATTCTCCAAATAAGTGTGGTTTTTTGCATTTTTGCATAGACTTCAGTGATGGCTCATTTGTGAGGTGCTCTCGAAGATCTCTTGCAATTGCCTTATCTGTTATTTGTAGTAAACTGTGATTACTCTGTCTGGTCAAAGTGTGCTTCATGTGCTGTTTTTGATTTGTTTTTCAATTTAGGGCAAGAGGGAACTTCCAGTCCGTTGTTAGAAACCACAAGTAGCGAGCTAAGCACCACCAGCACCTCAGGTATTAAGCCGCAAAACAGTGTTTTGTTGAAATGTCAATGAAGTTACTTGCTTCACTGGTGAATTACTACTCTGTGCAGGACAGAATTAAAACTCTTTGCTTCTTAGAGCTCCCATCTTCCTCTCCAAAAAAAAGAGTGTTTGTTTGTTTGTTTTTTTCAGTGTCTTTTCAGAAAATCATCAAAAAGATAATAGATCGGTAGTTGACCAATGCAAAACTTTCTTAAGCTCGAAAGAACATGCGGAATAGTGCAGTTATTTTTATCAGATGAGGCATACCAGAAAAGAGTTACATAGAATATGATTTTTTTAATGAAAAATATAAAAATGTGTGAGTATGTAATATATAAAAAATATATATTTCTAATCCTATTAAACTTGCCAGCTAAGTTTTTTCCTTTGTTGTACATAAACATGACGATTCAGCTGAAACCACCTACCACAAAGATTGTGCTGAGCAAGGGCTGTTATGGAGGTTTGAACTCAGTCTTCACAGCTGAGATTGTGAAAGGCTGTATTGGTGCAAGTTGTGCTAACGCTCGATCTGAACCGATCGCAGATATCTTTTAAAATTGACTTGCATCTTGTTCTCACGTTCATGATGACTTTTTTTTTGCTTTGTGCTTTTTTAATTGTGGGTTTTGTCTGGCTGCAGCTGGTTGGCTGTTGTTCTGGGATTAATTGTATAATTGCAGGACAAGGGCTCATTACCAGTCTCTGTCTTGGACTCTGAGGAATGAGCAAACCTGTCTTAAATTTTTCATTTCTTTGGTTCAGTACTTGAGACCCCTCCATCTATCAATATTGAACCAGTGCCCTCGCAAAGCATCTCACAAAGCATTATGTAGTTGCTAAGAAGATGAGAGGCAAAATGAAAATTCTGACCAAATAGTCAAATCTTACGGGAATTTTTAACAAGGGGTTTATATTGTCTGTTTCATGCTAAAACTTTGTAACTCTGCTCCTATATCTTTGTGTTAAATATGAGAAGTACTGTTATCTGATAATTGGCTATTATCTGATGAAATGTTCTCCAAATTCATTCCCTTATCTTGCAGAGGGAAGTACCAATAATGTGTCTGGCTGGAGTGATTTGGAAAGTAGGATGAGACCACAGCAGCAAAACTCCCTGATTCCTATGATGCTTTCCCCACCAGAATCACTCCTAGTTTCTTGTGTTTTGAGAGGAAATTTCATAGAAGCCCATCAGGTAAATGAGCTGCATATCTTTTGTGCTACTCTAAAATCTAATTTGGTATTGGCGTTTGTTGTTGTGACAGCTAATGAAGTTTATGCTCCTTTTGTATTAGCAAACATAGGGCTAAAGCATCTGCTTGAAGTGAAAAAGTGACTTAGGCAGTGAAAATATATGAAAGGAACAGAGATATTCTAAGATGACACTGCAACAAGGCTATTGTGGTGTCTTTTTTTTTTTTCTCCCCCTCAGTTGTATAAAAATAGCTTCTCTGAACCTGGCTTTTCCAAGCATGGAAATATTTGATCAGAGCTGACTAAGCTTAGTGAATCTGAGTGAAAGAGAAGGTTAAGAGCTCTTATGAAGTCTTTTGAAGAAGCTGCATCTGAGCTGCTTCCTGTAGTTAGTGAATCAAAACCATGACTCTGCCACTTTTAAGCTCAGTGGTAACATGCAAATATATTCCCTATCCAAAGTGGTGAGTACAGTTATTTAAGGAAGGTGTGCTGGAGCTAAATTTATGGCACTGAAAGTAGGCAAAAAGACTCGTAATTTCCAGCCTGCATACCTGTAATTCTTTGCTCCCACAGTTTTGCATACCTTTCTGTATGTGGCTTTTGGGCTGATGCTCTGAAAATTCGTCTGCATCTTGAAATTTGTCAGCAATGCTCTGTGATAACAGTAACCTGGCTGAGTTTGAGATAATACTATCAGAGCAGTTGGTATCACTTACGCATTGCAAGCAGCAGTTGATTCCCCTGCTCACTAGTTCTCTTTGACTGCAAGTGTTACTACTTCATCCTTTCCTTACTTATAGGCCCAAGAAATAACTATATTGCTTTGTTGCTCTGATATTCAGTATCTCTGGTGATAAAGAATTCTAGTTTGGCTTGCCTTCTACTGTTAGTTTGATATTGGGAACTTGTATGATTATGCTTATCTGCTGCCTTTAAATATTTAGAAGGTATTCCTGGATGAATAAGAACTTGTTAGTTATTTTGGACATGCAGCTTGCTAGATTTTTTTCATTACCTGATATATTGAAATCTTGAAGCATAGTTCTGAAAGATATGCAGATTAATTCAAATCTCATCTTGTAATACATAATAGTCTAGCTTTCTAAAATAGTTGAAAACGGTCTCTAAGGCACTGGTCTCCAGTCCCTCTAAACTCCTGAGGGGAGAAATTGCCATTTCGGCTCCCTGTTTCCGTGTATGTAATTTTCAATTTCAGTAGCTATGTTGCTGTCCTTGAAAGGTGGCTTTGATGTTTAATCTGGAGAGTTCATCTTGCTATGGTGAGTTGGTTTTCATGGAGCGCTACCAAGAGGTGGTACGAGAGATGGCCAGAGTGGAGCACAACATTGAGAATCAAACATCAGATGGCACTGGAGGCATCCGGAAATCGGGCAGTGGCCGTTCAACACTCCAGGCTATTGGAAATGCAGCAGCAGCTGGTAAGGACTGGATTTCTTTAGTTCTTTTCATCAAAGGTGAAGTGGAAAATAGGGAAAAAAGAACTTAAATACATTTTTGAACAACTGCCACACTTATTGAATGCAGTAAGTGGATAAGTGTGGCAGTTGTTCAAAAATGTAAGTGCGTCATCTTTGACTTGGAAAGAAATGGAGAATGCTGGCAGTTGCTCTTGAGCCCTATTGGATTAGTTTGAACACTATACAGGAATCAGTCCAGGGAGCAGACCACGTACTGAATGACATTCTTAAAAGATTTAAATCTTTTATCATGAATCATGAATATGATTTTCTAAGTTGAATATCCCATTTAATTAGTGATGGTGTGTTTTGCTTCCTTATGTAGGCATGGTATTTTATTCCATCTCGGATGTTACTGATAAATTGCTTGCAACTTCTGGAAGTCTTGCCCCATCTCTCCAAGAAAACTTCTGGACTAGCAGCCTGCAGCTCGAGCATACTGATCCTCTGCGGGAAGTCCTTGAGGACCTCAGTCCTTCAGCAATGGCAGCATTTGACTTGGCTTGTACTCAGTGCCATCTTTGGAAGACTTGTAAGCAGCTTTTGGAAACAGCAGAAAGAAAACTGTACAGTAGCTTTGAAACTCGGGGTAAGCTTTTGATTTTTCTGTTCATCAATAGGGGCATGGGGGTGGAAGATGCCTTTATATGCTGTGCTGTCTGTGTAAATATCTGAGTCTTGCTGAAATTCCATTTTACGCTGGCTTACGAGTTTCTCCCTTTTTCCACTTCCTAACTTTAATTTTTCTTCCTCTGTCCAATGCCTTTTCTAGGCCACAGACTGGACTTTGTTTTACTGAATCCTGAAGGTCTAAAAGGTTTTCCAACAGTTCTTCAGCAAATCAGTAAAATTCTCAACTATTTCTGCACATCACAAGGGCAGTCCAAGTCAGGTAATGTGCTTAGCTGGTAAAATCTTCTGTTTGAGTGTACTTATTTCAAATTCTTGTCTTCTGTTGAGAAGGAAAATTTAACTTTTTGGAGGCTTTGTATTTAAAACAATAGCAATTTTGAATCAACTGTGAACAACTCTGATTTTGACCAACCAGTTGTGTTATAATTGTTAGTTAGGTCTTTTTCTGTGCAGAGATACTTCATTTTTTGTGTAGCTGTTCGTTCTTTCTTTCTTTCTTTCATTTGTAGATATCTCAGATGAGAAAAGTAGTCCTTTTCGATACAGTATTGTAGACCTTCTGCAGGCTTGCTACCCCGCCTTGACTGAAGAGAGCATTACTAATGAGATTGTTTTATCCCAAAATCTCGACCAAGTTCTAAAAGCACTGACCCGTATTGAACATTCTGTTGGTGAGTTAATTTTGTGATCATGAAGACTACCAAATGCATCTAAACTTTGTGGTTTGTCCTGTGTGGTGTGGTGTTTTGGATTTTTTTGTTGTTGTTGTTCTTTTTAAGGTCTGAAACTGAAGTCTATGGGTGCAATCAAAAAAAAAAAAAAAAAAAAAAAACTAGCAAAAATACTCTTTTATGTATGCATCTATATTAAATCACAAATATAAGATATAAACTCGAGCATTTTTATGAAGGCTAAAACTGGGATTTTCTTCTTCCTGTTGCCTTTTCCTTTGTTTTTTATAGTCAACAGCTGTGTCTCAATAAGTTTGTGGTAACACCTCACAAGTAGATATATTTCAGGCTTTTCTAAGCTTGAAAGAGACAAGGTTGCCAGTTTTGATGAACTGTTGATTTATGCTGTGGTGAAATGTCTATGGTTTCAAATAAATTTGAATACTCAGACTGCAGGCTGTAATTGTAGGGAGGAAATTTAAGCTAAACATCTCTGTCTTTTTGGCATTTAATTCTAACTTGAATCTGCATCTTTTTCTCTTAAACCAGACTCTAAAGGGAGCCTGCTTAGCAGCTTGGTAGAACAGGCCTCTCTGAAACCTTTGGAACT